TCCGTTTCCTTTAATACGAAACTTCCGCAAAGCTCGAGGATAATCCGCGGGCCAGTTCGGACGGCGATAGATCGTGTTTGAGAAAGTGGCGTAAAAACGGTATTCGAATTGCCATTTTTTTCGATAATTTAATTTATATAAAATGTTAAATATATTTTTTTTAATTTTTTATAAGAGATAAGTTTGCAATGTAACAATTGACGAAATATAATTGTATTCTTTTGTAATTAAGCGAGCGATAAATTTTGGGATATTTTAGTGAGAGAGGTTCCGAAGCGAGCGTGAAGCCGAACTGTTCGGAAAAGAGGAATTAAAGGTGTCCGAAAGAGGCTCTAAAATCGCGAGAGATTACGGCTGTAAGTCGGTTTCTTTTGATCCATTTATATGTGTACCACAGCGTTTCGAAACTGGAACATCATTATTTTTCCGACGGGTTGAAAACTCGTACCTGACCGTGGCGTTCTCAATTTCACGTCCGGTGGCGCCGTACGTAGATTATAATCGCTTTTCGGAATAATGCCTAACAAGATTTTTTTCCGTCGCGGGAAATAAATGCCAACGCCTTTTTCACGGTGACTATTTACAATTAGGCTAGAAGTTTTTGACTTTTTGTAGTCATAGAGAGATAAATAAACCTTTTCGTGAATTATTTGAAAGAATTCCCCGGCAGTGAAAGACAAACCTTTAATATCGATTTAGTACAGCAACGTAAACAACAAAATAAAGTAATCGATATGATAAACAATATAAAAACGAGATAATCACAGTCACAGTGAAACGTGTTGCTGCTGTTGACAGTTCCGAATCGTTGAAAAAAGAGAAAAATCTGTGCTGATTTTGTGCAAAAATGGCGAATTACGTTAAGAACCTCAATTGAAACAATTTAGAGTTTATCGTACGTGTATCGCACGAGTTTCTATACAAAATTTTGTTTGGTACACCTGGCCTTTCAACGACTCTCTTACTCCGCCGTGCTCGAGGTTAAAGTGTTCACCTATATAAAAAGGAATTTTTTTCTATTTTCTAGTGTGCGAACACTCGACCGGGATCAAACCCTCTAATTTTGGTTGTAATGGCTCGTCTTTATTGCTACCGGAGGGTGGACCCTCACCAGAGGAATTCACGGAAAACGCACAAACTTAGCAAGGATCTTTCACGCAGCCAGCCTGGAATAAGTCTCGAATGTTGGTTGTTTTCGTCCTTCGAATTTTTTAAGAGTCGAATTTTCGTAACGGCACAAACGAAAGGGTGCATCCAGTATATATATATATATATATATATATATATATATATATACACACCGTTTCACCGTTTTGTGTTATTGGATGAATTGATAGAATACCCACGTTGTAAATAATATAAAAAACCGGTCTTAACTCACACATGCAATACTACAAAATTTGTACGAAATATAAAAAACACTTGATTTTTCACACTATTTAAAGTTTAAAATTGTTGATAAAATTCAATTTTTTTTTTAATGTAAAGAAAAAAGTTAATTTAAATACAAAAATTATCTTTTGTATAAATACTTGTATGTCCCTGCATTAAGATATTCTCATTATCATAAATATACGCAATGTTTTACTTAAACAAGTCAGTCACCTGCGAATTAAATGAGGTATATTATCCACCTGTGTCGGGAGGTGGTTGAATCAGCGGCGAGAATCAACCTTTCTTCACCGTGAAGCGCACATTACCCTGACAGGTATATCTATTTCCATACACTAGGTTCCTATTGAATATGAAAAAGGGGGAGCAAAGGCACCTGCGCGTAGCCCCATGCAAATGGGTTGCACGCGATGAATAAAAAAAAAAAAGAAAGAGGGTTTGTAGCGAAGGGAAAGGGTTCTCGCTTCTTTATTCAGATTAGGGATCCGCCTATGGTATTTGAATCGCGCGACCCTTCGGTAACGCCACTTGATCTTCTTGATTTTACACGGCAAGTGTTTTTACCCTTCATCGCCAGACGAAACAGCATCTAGAGGTCAGATCCTTCCGTTCTAGAACAGATCATATACCACCGGCGCGTTTCAACGATTCATGTATCAACACAAGTGGAACACAATCTGTGCGATATTATGGAAAAAAATATGTCGCGATGCAATTGCTGCATTGCAGATATTTGTCGAGCGTAATTCTTCTCCGTTGAATTATTCTCGCGAGTTATTCTATTCGATGGGTTAGAGAAGAATATCCGTGAGAACGAATGACGCGATAAACCGCTTCGACACAAAAGTATTTCATCAATTATGTGATATACGAAAACGAAATATTTTAAAATACATATCCTTAAATCTTTCCAAATGATATGTCTGAGAAAATCAGTTTGTGTGCATGTATAATAAATAGATAGCTATTAAAACCGGAGAGCGCGTACATATTCGCGCCTTTCTCGTGACTTCGTGTCGGTAGGGGCGTCATTAAAATCAATACCGGCTCGCTCTCTCCTCTTCCTTCTCTTTCCATTTCTTCCTTATTCCCCTATCATCCCCCATCCTTGTCGCGCTATGAGGTTGCGAGGGTGGAGAAACTGAAGTAGGGGGGTTGCCCCTTCCTATATATCCGGTCTGGCATGCGAAGCGAAGGACGAGACGTTGGTGGGGTGCAGGACGAAGGAACGAGAGAATCGAGAAAGAGAGAAAAAGCACGAGGAAGACGAAACTTTCGAAGGAGCAAAAGGGGAGGATGGCACGATAAGAGGAAAGCCTGCGTTTGTGATGTGAGGTACGCGGTACACGCGATAAGGAGTGGGGGATGGCGTTCCCATAGCCAATAAGAACCTCTTTAAAGCGCCCTTTTTGCGCACAGAACTGCGCATGCCGGATTCAAATCTGGACGAGCTAGGTATCGAGTAGAAGTAGGGGCGGAAGCGGAGAGACGACGACGGCAGCGGCGGCGGCGGCGGCGGCGGCGGCGGCGGCGGTGGTGGTGATAGTGGTGGTGGTAGTGGTGGTGAAGGCGACTAAGGGTAGCGCGGCAGTGGTGGTGGACGTCGGCTGTATGGAAATATGATAGCGCGATAAGAAAAAGAAGAAAGGTACCAACACCTATATGTGTGCAACGCGAAAGGGGATAACGGCGAGAAAGTGGGGAGAGTGCTACGCTTCTCGCGACCAATAAAAGAGCCAGTTTAAAGCGCCTTATTTTTTTCCACCGGCACTGCGCATGCTGAATTCAAATCTTGGGAGTGGTAAGGCTGGATGGATTTGTATGGAAATATGATAGGTGAGAGATGCCGGGACCGACATGGCGGCCGATCGTCAAGTTTATGGATGTCTGGCCATTCTCGTCGATATTTCTGCAATATGTAGTTTTATACCATCGCGTCACTATTATTTTTAAGTAAATGGAAGATGCGTTAAATTAAACAGTAAAAACATTGAACTTGTTATTTTTCTGATAAAATATTGCATATGTAAAATCGCATTAAATATTTGTACATAAGAAATAAATATGACAGAAAAAAAGCAATAACTATCTTAAACAATAACGTGTGTTATTGTATTTGTCATATGCAGTTTTTTTTTTATATTTATAGAACATACACATACCGCCCTAGATCCGTACAATACACTGTTTGGCAGATTGCCTTTTTCAGACGATCTCTACCTGTAATTGTACCCGCCATGTCCCATCAGTGCCATCAAACCGTAAACAAGATCTCAATCTTCAACTATGTCAGTCCTGAAGATCTCTTCTAAGAGAAAACATCTCCTTCGTGGGTGGAAAATAAATCGCATAATCGATCTCGTTAGTTAGAAATTGTAAATACACAAAATAATAATATTCTATAAAATAATTCTGATTGAGATTCTACTAAGTATAAAAAAAAAACGCGTGTATGCGTGTGTGTGTATGATATAAAAATATTGACAGAGTCAAATGTAACTATGTGTACACATGCAAAATATGCAAAATTTGGCATCACACAACATACATACACATATCTGACGCTTTCTTTTTTACGGACAATCTCAGTGGTCGATTGTGAACAAAGTAATAGGGTTTGCGTGGGTGGTCCAGCGTAAGAGGCTTCTTGCGGCCACTCCTCTAACTAATTCCATTCCAACTCTTCCGTATATCCGCACTTACCGCACTGTTTTGCAGTATGCGGTTGCACGTCGTGTGCGTCCGACACGTGGTCTTCTAACATATTTAAATGGACGTGCGCTGTTCGCATATACATATAGTTTTATACGTCGGACCAGCGCGGTGTACTTTGGTACACCATTCGCAACAAACATTGATCGATCTGGTCTCGGATTTCCCCCGAGTAAAAATTCTCGATAATCCAGATGGCTGTATTTCAACTTCTCGTCTGGTTCATATTAAAGAAAACCGCAAAAGAAGCATGCGAATCGAACCAGTCCCAACGCGAACTCGTACCGGATTGGTCGACTCTCGGAATCAAACCGAGTTTTAATTCTTTAGCATCGGTCACGGAACGCGGAGTCTTTAAGTATCAAGGTCTAATCGTCATTTCTTCTGGGAGGTAGGGCAAGTAGCTCGGCGATTGGTTGCAAACGTTGCATATGCAAATTCGCGTTCGCCCGCTCTCTCCTTCGTTTTCTCTTTCTTTCTTCTCTTCAGCCTTGTGAGAACAGCAGCCGATGCACGCGAGAGGTAAAAAAGGCGCGCTCTCGCTCAAGTTCTACGGCTTGAAGAACTTGCCTCTATCTCGCCGGGCGGAGCCGCATGTGGTCCGCGTTTCCCTGCGATTGGAGGCGATGTTCCCCACCGACGCGTCCACTGCCCCCACCGCGGATATCAAGCCGCGTTGGACGCGGCCACACTTTTCGTTCTACCGTGCGTCTCTCCTTGTTCCGCTTACATTTGATCAAACCGCCTGCAGATTTCTTCTTCGTCGCACATGCCTCTCCTTTTCCTTCCTCCGCAGCCTCCCCCACCTTGGATTACTACGAAGCTTGGACGGTCGGACGGTTTTGTGGTAGGCGGCCAGGCGGGCGTACGTAAGTCCTTTAGTGTAGCTGCACACATGCACGCGACAGCATCTGACCGTTGTACTACCAGCTGCCGCCGTAGCTACTATGGTAACGCGTCGCGTAAAAGTCTACCAAGTGCGCTTACGATCACGCTGCGCGAGAGAGGCGTGTTGACAGGTTGGACTGGGCTCATCCATTGACAGCTTGTCGCGCTTTTGCGTTGCCTCAACTTGTCTCTCTGCGGCATTGTGATAAAGTAACATCACTGGCGTCCATCGCACGTGTTTGTTCAGATTGACGTGAGATTCTCTGATCAAAAAAAAAAAAAAAAAACCGCGCGGTAGAAAATGGTGAACGATTACAAGTGACTAAATGCGAGCCGATCAAACTCGCGACTGTTGATTAGATAGTGTTTATGTTGATGAGTTCATCTGCAAGTGTTCTCATCTCCGGTACATCAATGACAGTTGCAAGTAAGACCAGCGTACAGACTGGAGCAACTACACGACAAAAAACAACTTGGACAAAATCGATTTATACGGTTGACAGCTTGCGCTACGTCAGTGTTTTGTGATTCAACTTTTAACAATTACATCTGATTGATACACATTTCCGTTTTTTCGGAGCCTGAAAAAAAGTAGTAAGCTGGTGATCGTGAAATAATGATTAAAATAAATCATGAAGTTATAAAAAAATGTACGCTAAATCCAATAGACTAAATATAACAACTATAAAATAAATGTTTAAACAATCATCAAATCATAAAGTTCTTTGAAACATCGATCTTTATTTCACATTATATATCTTTAGCTTCTTTGAATATTAATTAATAATCAAATTACTTTTGCACTGAAAACTAAACTAACGAGACATATGCGTTGCACGCTTTGAAGAATATTAAAAAAATTGAAATACACATTTGGCTTTTAATGATTTATTTTGTTACGTCTTTATCTGATTGATGTTTGACACTTCTCTGACAAAAAGCAAAGTGTTAAGGGAATGGAAATCAAGATGCTTGTCTGATAAAGATGAGGATGCAAATAACAACGACGATCCGATCTCAGATGTACATCGTGGACAAGTATCGGATAGCCACATTCCTTCTTTAAAATAGAAAAGGCATACGTGACCGTGAGGATTGTGAATATAACGCGTTTACTGCTAGTAGCGGTATTGTGTTAACACACAAGAAAAACTGAAGATTAATGAGAAAACGATAGGTTTGATAGAGGGCAAAGAGAACTCGCATGTTTCGTTGTTTCGAAAGTACAGCGAGAAAGCGTTCATTTTGCAAGAAGAAAGTTTGAACAACACGTAGTATAACAAGCATCACATGCGTGACGTAATTTCTCGCGCTAGATTCAAGCCGTGAATTTATTTATACCAACAAAGATATTGCCTAAATTTCACGGACAGACTACATGAATAGACGAAAATTGTTTCGACACTTCAGAGAAATCGATGAAACTTAGGAATGAACATGAAATTCAAGAGAGCTTGTTGATCTTTGAATCAACTCAAGTCAAATGGGTCAAATAAACAACCTAAAGAATCTTGGTAGATTACATGTATGTGTAACGCATGTAATTTGCTCTTTCTGGCCTGGTTTTTATTGATTAATTGTTGCTGTGCAATATATTGAGCGTGTTTCTATAAGTTTTTCACATCGGTATATATGTACATACATAGAACAACCTCAGTTGGTTTGTACGGAAAACATCTCGGTGTCCGAATCGCGTTAAGCACATTCGGAATTTTACAGGTTGCTCTTCTTAAACCAAGCTGGCAACTCACCGAGGTGTAGCTTCACCACGAAATTCTTCTAAAATAAAAAGTATACATATTACATATTGTTTACGCGTACTTCTGATTTGGAGCCTACCTAAAATTGTACGTCTCTTATTGCAATCGAATTTCGCACAAGAGTGCAAAAGAAGACATGTATATACTCATGTCGACGTGAACTATAATGATTAGTATATACAATGAATGTTATGTCACAATGTTATGAAGTGTTTTTTCATGCTAGAATAAGTTAAAGTCGCTACGAGCGAATGGCTTATCGAACTCAAGTGCTATAGCACCTCTGAGCGGTATTCCATCTTCAAAGCATCTCACAAAACGTGTTAAGGGCGATGATAATCAACGCGGGCCACTAAGTCATCGACGAACGGACCTCCTACTGCGTGGACCGGTGTGATCCCTTCGTCGAGAGTTGAAACTCAGCAGGCGATCACGTTGGATTTCGAGGCGTTGACTGCCTACGGGAGCGTTTCAGAACCCAGGGTCGCGGTGGCGGGTACCGGGGTTCTCGCGCTGCCCGGCTTGATACCCGATAAGGGTTTATCATCGCCCGGAAGCCAGTCGAAGTCAAAATCCGCAGGGCTGGCGGGTTTCGATAGCGAGGCGCTGCGCCGGTGGGTCGCGGAGACCACGCGAACAGTTCGGCAAAGTCTGCCTCCGGTGTTGGTGACTGTGAGCTCGCCACAACCGCAGCAGCAACAACAACAGCATCATCGTCAGCCGCAGCAGCAGCAGCAACATCATCATCACCATCACCATCATCATCATCATTCCACCCATAGGCAGCGTCAAGAATCGAGCCCACCGTCGGTGGGATTATCGCCCTTTGTTCTGCCAGCATCGATGACGCAGACTCCCAGTATGCATCTGCTGGAGAACAATAACTTGGTTGAGGTCGCCATGGTCCAGCAGCAGCAGCAACAACAACAACAACAACAACAACAACAACAATCTCAGCAGTCAATACAGAAACAGAAACAAACAAGTCCTACGAACAATAACACTATAGAAGCCTGGAGGTCGATTCAAGGCGGGCATCAATGGTGGAGTCCGCCCAATAGCGTTCACCAGGAGCAACAACAGCAGCAACAGCAGCAAGTATCGTCGATCGCACAGGTGTCTCAGACGCAGAATCTGGTCGCCGGATCAGTATGTAGCCAGGTGCAGCAGAGGCATCAACCGCAAGTGCAATCGGAGATCGATCAGCCGCTCGATTTTTCCGTTGGCTCTCTCCAGCAGCAAAGGCTGCATTCTCGCGTAAGGACTATGCACGAAAGACTGCAAGGTGTCAAGATGCACGACAACAACAACGGCACGACGAGCGGTCAGAAGATCACCAGGGGGGACGTTAGCAGGCGTAGTTACAGCCCTAGTGAGACCAGCAGCAGCAGCAGCGAGGACGAGGGTGTCTCTAACGGCGCCAGCCCTTCGGGACCTCTTCGGGGTGCCTCGGGTGAGTGTCAATCGAATTACCCACGTTTCGTTAGAGTCCGGAATGTATATTCAGAGTCACCATGATTCGCTAATTCGTGATTATAAAGATCTCAACTCGCGTGTTTGTGGGAAGAGAAAGAGTTACTCAGCTAAAACTCACATCGATGATGTGTTCATCATCGGCGTTTCGTATATTTATGCTGTAGTTTATAAAACATTTTACGTCCTCTTGCGAACATACTAATCGACTCAATTTCGAGCGTTTTCTCAACGTGACGCGAATCGTCGCGCAAATCAAAGCTGAATGAGGAATCCGCCTGACGCAACACTTTAATCTCGTCGAGTAAATGCATATAGATTAAGTCTAGCTCATTATCATTTATCGCAGTCATTTTATTATTATGAGCGATGGGCGCAACACGTGATATAAAGATATGAAAACGATATAAGCGAAGTGTCTGTCTTTTATCGCAAAGTTTTTGCCTCGCTCAATTAATATGTGGCGAATATTGCGCGACTGTTAAATTTCTTGTCACATTATCGGCGCTATGTGCGTAGACGTGCATTAAACAATCGGTATTATCTGATCAAGTGTACAGATTAATACGCATCTCTCTCTCCCTCTCTCTCTCTTTCTCTATACGATTGTTAAAGTAAACAAGAACTCCGTGCGTTTTATGGAAACCGCCACACGATTCACGTCAGTTGTTAGCGGAATGTCTGTCGTATTCTTGACACCCTCACGTTGCATTGTTGCTTTACGTGAACATTCAACACATCGAGGCTTTTGTACGAATCGCGCATCTTAATCCTGAAAACTAAGATTGATCTAAAACGATCGGATTTCGTATTCATGCACACATCGTTCCTGTTATTCAATACGTGAAATATAAATCACAAAAAAACATATACATATGTATGTTATAAGATATAGTATTAACGTATTTTCGCTATCTATTTTTGTATTTTTCTTGCATTTAGCAAAAAAGTTTATTTTCAAGATTCAATATTTATAAGAGAGTTTTGTTCAATACAAATTCAATTCCCCGCGACAAAAAAAAAAAAAAAAAAAAAAAAAATTTTATGACATATAGAATATTCAAGTGTTTTAGATTACTACGAAGATATTTTGGTATTCACACACCGATGACTAATCGATACCCGAACCGCTATCTTGTCATCAAGTATTTGCGCATTTGCAAAATTAGTTTGCGCGTATCTGTGCTAAGATCGAGCTGAGAATAAGAATCGATATCATGCACATTAACGGATCGCCGAGTCATCTATCGATCCCTTTGACGGTAATTTCCATGCCGAGACTCCGCGTATATAGTAGATAATAATTTTACTTGACGCTGCTCGCGTCAATTATAGCTACATGTGATGTATGTTCCGTCCGCGTTCTATCTTTAGAGACTTATTAATTAATAAAGCTGTATACACACGGTTTTATTAATAGTCATGGCGCACGAGCCGTGCAAGTTTCTGCTTTCGGCTTAGACTTACCGGTTTTTGATAAACCGTACAATTCACGGCTGCTGCGCGTGTCGATAAGATCTTCTTGGTTTTGATCGGCGATTTGCGTGATAACTATGCACACGACAAACATATGTAAATGAATGTTACATTGCATAAAAGCAAACTCGCTGAAAAGTAAATGTTACACAGAATTTATTGTTGGGAATAAATGCGTATCGTCTTTTAAAAGACGCGATATGTGTGCGCATTAACCACTTATACATCTTTATACGTTGATAATGTGTATAGTCACGGAGTAATATTCCAATATAATTTATTAGAAAATTAATAGAACAGATAATCACGTAACGATAAGACATAAGGAAAAAAATATATTACTCAAGATGGCTCGATGTTTTGATTTAAACGCGTGAACTCATTTTTACGCGAGCTGTTTCCTTCACCAACCGCGGTAAGATAAATCGAGAATTAATAAGAAAATGTCGTTAATATACGTTGATTAGTCGCAGATAAGCACTGTGCTCGATAGAAAAAATCATTCAACTATCTGATATTATTGTTGATAAAAATGCGTATCTCACTTTAGTCAAGCTTGTGTTATTAATCTGTGGCAATTACGCGACGTGTCTATGTATTTCTTCGTATTTGATCGTCTGATATCGAGGTTATCCACACGATAAGTTTCTCGCTCTACATAGATGCACCAATATTATATAGAAAAAAAAAAAAAAAAAAAAAAAAAAAAGTGCAACGGCAAATACGCTCTGCAATACGCCGATGCGCGCGAACGAAAAGGAAAAATCGTCCGTTATCGTATCTGCCGATAACGTCTTAGCTTTAATACTTGTTTGAATAAATATTCCACGTAAGTCGCGTGATTGCATGGTTATTTTCGGCATACACTCGGAATTGTGACGCAAAAATTTTTATTTACCGCACGAAGGAAGTTGTGCGTGCGTAATAGTAACGCGATCGATTGTATTTTCATATGAGTCAGTTTTATCGCTAAGAAAATTGAAAACAATATTTTTTGGAATTATGACGCATCGCTACGAGAGTCTACACGTTTATTTATTACAAATATTCGCAATCACGCGGATATATAATTCCGTCCTTGATGAAAGGACGCATAGAGCGCATAAAGAGTTCTAAAGTTTCCCCTCCCTGTCTCACCCGGACTTAGGGACCTGTTCCCGGCTGGAGAGTCCAGCTGTATTACGATGTAACCTGACACGCGTTTGATTCCATGTTATTTACGAGCAGGTGTATCGACGCAACAATGTTTATTGGTGTAATTAGATTCTATACTTACTCAATTTTTTTCACGCCTCGATGTTGAGTGTAGCGTCTCTCGGCACAAAAATTGCTTTCTAACAAGATGATAAAATAATAACTCGATAAATATTTTTTACTACACGTATTAAATTTATACGTTTGAAAAAAAACATATAATATATACAATATTTCGCATGTACGTAAACCAGCGTTTGATTCTTTTTCTTGATCAGTTTGAAAAAAAAAAAAAAAAAAAAAAACATTTTGAACTTCATGTGACGTCAAGTGTGTCTTTGTATGATCATTCGCTGTGTTCCCTTTTTTATTTTTGTCTAATTTGACTAAAGGATAATTTGATAATGCAAAACACCCCCCGATAACAATCACCAGTTAGACCTTAGCTCTTATGAGAATCTTTTCATCATGATCGCTTCCACTAACCGGGCCCAGGAGCAGCGATCGTTGGTTCCTCCCTTCATTAGCGTTTTCTGTGATTCGTTTGAGCGCGCTCAAGAGTACCGTTGGATCACACTCGCGTGCGGAAAATTAGACGGCCTGCCGATTCGTGAGAATACTCAAGAGGTAACACGTCAATCCTTTCCCGCTTCGTGATCAATGATCTTCGAATTCAAACCTTGAATATGTCGACGGCCAAAGTCTGCGAAGGCCATTTTTCATCTAAATTATTATTATTTTTTTTTGAGAGAGAGAGAGAGAGAGAGAGAGAGAGAGAGAGAGAGAGAGAGAGAGAGAATATATACTTAGCGAGAGTTACGAAAGTAACTCCCGCGAGATTTTACACTCAATCCTATATATCCTGTTATAAAGTTCAATGAGAAAGAAAGCGAAAAGACACGTGTCACACACACACACACTCTCTCTCTCTCTCTTTTTCTTTCTTTGTTTTATATCGATGTCTCTGCGCATAATTAACACAACGTTGAGACACTCGTCCGATGAAAGTAGCCATCGATATATGTCGGTACATATCGATACGTCCTAACATTGACATTTCGCAACGATATTTCTGCACGTCGATGTCTGCCGTCGATGACGGATACAATCGCATTTATTGACTCGCGCGAGTCGGATTTCGTTTTAATCGCGACCGAATTATATATTTATCTTTGCTTGTGCGCGCCCGACCCAAGTCTGTCGACGGTTTGCAAGAGTGAAATGGAGTTTTTTTTATCGATCGGCGATCTTTTCGCTAGCGTCATTCGGGAAACGAAGGCTTGGCTACGGAGATAAAAAAAAAACCCCGGCTCGCTAAAGAGGCGGCCGGAAGCGCGTTACCTCGCACAGCTAATATGCACAATGACTATGAATACATAAAGAGTGTCGCTATCAAGCGGGGGACTTATGCTTCGTGTAAACTCAGTCAATGCGAGAAGAGCGGCGGCAAGCGGCGGCGGCGTCGTCGCTCTTAGAGGAAACTTCATTGAAATGCTTGCGCGCGCGCGTCTCACACAAATGAGAGAATATAATAATATAATCGCGCACACACACGGATTTGAATTTGTAAGTGATTATTTTAGCCGTGTCGTTTTTTTTATTGTGCCGGAATATTTAATCGGAATTCATGGAAACGTGAAGTCAACGAGCGGATGTGACTGATCGTACCGAAAATTGTTGCGCTTGCGCCACAGGCGTTGTACTTATATATATATATATATATATGCTCGGGATGAAACGACGTCTGTGTCGCAATAGAATATTTATATGCGCCGAGTCTAATTAATCCCGCGCCCCGCATCCGGTTCACACGCAATCGATTCTAAATACTCGCAAAGAAATGCGCAACCGCATAAATAACCAATCTCTTCTTTTTGCCGCGCAGTTAAACTTAATTTATCTTATGATATCATCTTGGGCGCGCGATTTCCACATTTTGTGATGCAAAAAAACTACCATCTTTCTTCCTTTTTTTAATCTCTTTTTCTTCTCATATTTGTTTCTTAAACTGATATCGACTGGCGCACACACACACACACACACACACACACACACGGTGTTGCCACACACGATCAGATATATAATGATACGGATATTTAATGAAAAACCCGCTACATTTCTCCGAGAAACCGGAAGCGGCCAAACCACTTGCGTTGCGTCACCGGCAGCACAGTGGCATTAATGCTTCCTTATTTGCATTGTCCGCCGGTTTCCGATTATACCCCTGTGCACGGCCCACGAATTAAGCCCCGACCCACTTCGCCTGCCCGAAACGCTTCGGGCTAGCATACGAAATCTCGATTATTACGT